TCTCCCCCCCCCAACTCTTACATCCCACACATGCTCATGCCACCTCTGTTGGCCTCATCAGGACGCTGCCCAGACAACCCATCCCCTATGATGGGTGACCCTACGTACCTAGGAAGGCCGTGGGGGGCCTGTACTCACCAGCCACCTCTTGAGTGTGATGGGGTTGATGTTGAAGTCTCTGGCCAAGCCCAGGTCATGGTACATGTGCTCCAGGCAGCTCAGCATCTGTGGACACAGAAGGAGGTAAGCCCCTTTCCAGAGGGTCCCCTGGAGCAGGGTCAGACTGGGGTTTGGCCTGAGAAGCCTCTTGATGGCCCTTTTGAGACCATTCAGATGGGCGGTTGTCTGAGAGAGTGTCTGGGGCTCTCCTGAGGGTGGAGGAGCTGGGTTGGAAGTCAACGAGAGCTCTGTGCAGGAGGGGACAGTGATGGGGTGAGGGGCGCCCCCCCATTGCCAGTGACCAGTCCAGAAAGGGATGTTGTTTATTCCTGCACATGGAGAACAATCCCAGGAGATTAGTAGTTGAAGGTGCACACCTGGAAACCAGGTGCCTTGGATGTGGGGGGAGAAAGGTCCCTGCCCGAGGCTGGGATTCAAGGAACTTTAATGACTTACATCCCTCTTCCCCCCCAAAAATGCTTAGTCATGCCTCTCTAGAGCCCCACTGGGACCAGAGACCTTTCTTTTTTTTTTTTTTTTTGAGACAGAATCTCATGTCACCCTCGGTAGAGTTCTGTTCGGAAGGTGGGTGCTGCCCTCCTAGTCCTTATTTCAGTGAACTGCCTGCTACAGACACCCCTGTTGAAGCTGAAATAGATTTTGTTTTCAGTCCCAAAGAGGGTTTATGGTCATTGTTAAAGATCTATTTGAACACAGCTCAGTGCTTCGGAGCTAATTAAGCTCAGGAGGAAAAGATCAAATGATTTTTAAAAATGAGAGTTAGACAAAAGTGGGGCTTGCCATCGGATGGAGAGTCCAGGGAGGCAGAAGGTCCACAGAATGGGGGCAGAGCAGACAGTCCTGGGAGGATCCTCCGCCAGGCTGCACGCCCAGGCCTGCCTCCTGCCTAGGAGGACACTGGGCTGTCCCTGCGGGAACCTGTGGGCTTCCAGCTGTCTCTGGGCACTGCATGAATTTCTCCCAGAAGTGAGTGTCAGGGACTGAACTGCACCACCCAAAATCAGCACATTGCAGTTCAACCCAGCTATGCTTGTGTTTGGAGAAAGGGGTCATTAAGGAGGAACGAAGGTCAAATAAAGTGGCGAGGTGGACCATAGTCCCACGGAACTAGAGGCTTTAGGAGAGGAGAGGAGACAGCAGTCCGCATGTGCAGAACCATCACCCAAGGACCCTCTGAAAAGGTGGCCGTCTGCAAACCAAAGACAAAGGCCCCAGGAGGACATGCTTGGGGCAGCACCTCGGGCCTGGACTTCTGGCCTCTGGAAGAGCCGTTAGGATGGATGTCTGTCCAGCCCAGATCTCTGCTTCTGTTACGGTGGCCTGAGCAAGCCAGGGCAGCGCATGCTACCAAAATCCCACTTTTACTTATTGTGCAATGTGTAGGCTTAGAAACACTGCAAGTGAGGTAAATTTTTGTAAATCTAATCCTGTAATCCCAGCGTCCAGGGGCTGGCTCTGAAGGAAGCAGAGAATTCTGTGGCGTTGAGCATATACTTCCTGGAGGGACAGTACAGACATGGGTTAGATAATGTGCAGGGTGCCAAGTTTAGGTGGTGGCTTTCAAGGAGCCCCTTCACGGTGGCAGGAAGACCGGTGGCTGGCTTGCAGGCTGCTGCCCAGATCACCCAGGTCCAGATCACCTTACTGTCCAGAGCTATCCATCTTCCTACTGTCCTAGAGGCTGGCTTTAAGACCAGAAGGGCTGCAGCCTGGAAACCCCTTGCTCTCTGCCCCGGCAGCCCAGACGCATGCATGGCAGCCCCACAGAGCTGAGGCAAGTGCTATGAAAACAGAGTCGAGGGCCAAGATGATCGGCAGACGGAGCCATCTGGCGCCACTTCCATGGCGTGTGTGGAGCAGGAGTGACAATGAATGAGTCTGTTGTGTCTGGGTGAGCCTGGGCAGGCAAGCAAGTGAGCAGACACCGTGGTGGGTCCTGGGCTGCAGAGGACAGGGGCATAACTGTGAGCGTGGGGGACCCTCGACAGCCAGAGCATCCTGCAGCCTTCGAGCTCTGTGCCGGTTGGAGGCGGCCACCGGAGGAGGCCCCACCAGGGCAGAGGGACATGGCAGAGAGAAATGGCGCCGGGCAGCGCCTGTGGCTCAAAGGGGTAGGGCGCTGGTCCCATATGCAGGAGGTGGTGGGTTCAAACCCAGCCCTGGCCAAAAAACTGCAAAAAAAAAAAAAAAAAAGAAGATGCCAGGAGAAGTGGCGCCCCCGTCTGGGTTGTGACGGGAAGGACACGGGCCCAGGCGCTGGTGACTAGCTGCTCCACCTGCTGGCAGGGGCCTGGGACTTCCTGGGCAGTAGCTGGCTTTCCCAGGTGGGCTGGGCCGTGGAGACGCTGGCTGAGGTCTGTCCTTGAGTGTCTCTTTGCCATTCTCACTCCAAGTTCCCTGCATCCCCAGGTTTCCCAGAGGCCACGGCTCCTGTCTTTGGGCATCTCTGGCTTGTCACCAGTGGGCAGCTGAATACTTCTCAGCTCAGGAACCCTCACTGGTCTCTGGGGTGCTCTGGAGATCTGCTGGGCAAAGCCCAACTCTAGCGGCAGGAGCAGCTGCGGTCTTGTCCATGCCCCACACCTCCCAATAGTGGTTGTGACTGCAGACCCTTCAACCTCCTGGGGTGACCGGCACCCTGCAGCCACGGCAGACCCATGGATTCCCTGGAGGATGGCAGCAGAAACAATAGCACGGACCGTTCTCCACTTGGATGCTGCGCCATCAGTGGCCCCTGGCCTTGCTCTACCTTCCAGTGGACTGAAGTGATAGTGACCTTGGGGACTGTAATTTTTCAGGGCAATGTTGCAGAAGTGGCGTTTGATCATTGGCTGGGCGCAAGTGTCCATGTGTCCTAACTATCCTGCGGTGTCCAACCTGCCCTCCTGCAAGATTATAGGGAGGCCTGCTGTCCTGTGACCTTGAACTGCTCTCAACTCTCAGGGGTGGGGAGCCACCGGGCCACGTGGTGACTGAGTGTTCTGGGCAGGTTTGCTCCACGCAGAGTTGCTCTGACGGCCGCTGGGCGCCGGGGTGCAGCTGTCGCTCCACTTTTCGTTTTCTGGCCAGTGCTGCTGAGTTTGTCCTTGTTCTGGGAGACCGTGACGGCAAAAGTGGGTCACTTAGGAGATGCCAGCGCCCCAGGCACTGGCCACCATGTGTGAACCATATAGTGCAAGACCCCACTGCCTGCCCTTGGGGCCTTGCAGCTGCCAAGTGGGGTGCAGGTGCGCTCACTGGGGCCTCTGCTTGTTAGAGTTTCTGGAAGGCTGGAAAGTGTCCTTGGAGTTTGGGCAGGTTGAAACTAGCTTGGCCTGATGTCAGTGAGGAGGGAATTTTTTCTTTTCTTGGAATGAAGAAAGAGAGGGGCCTGATATTATTAGCTAATGAAACTAAACCAAAAAATCTCCATGTTTGTGTTTCCTAGCAAATGGGAAATTTAAAAAAAATATCTTGCTGCAGAGGGGGCACATGATCCTATTGGTCTGGTGTGACCCCACTGCCCATGACCTGCCTTTGCTGATAGCTCTGGGTGAAGCTCCTTCTCCAGGAGACATTTGCTTCAGGCAGGGGGCTCGGCCTGCAGAGTTGCTGTGGCCCCTGGGGCTCTGCACTGGCAGCAGCTGGGGCAAAGGCTACCTGCCCGGTCCAGTGAGCTCCTCTCTTCGGGGCATCCCCTGCCCCCAGGGCTAACTCCCGGGCCGTCCTATAAAGTGTCAGCTTGAGCTGAAACTTGGAGCATTGGGCTATTTTTCTTTAAAAAGAACAGAAGGGAGAAAGCCCAGAGTGAGAGGGGCAGTGGGGATGGTCCCATCCTGGTCCCGTGGCCTCACTTACCTCGTTGGGCTCCCAAAGCCAGACATCAAAGGTTGGCTTCCGAAGGGCCTCGATGGTCTCAGGAGATAGCAGGTACTGGAAGGACACAGGTCAGGGTTAACCAGCCCCGGGCCTCTGAGCAGAGACAAAGGCTGTGACCACAGATGTACACGGTGGGCACTTTCTCCTGTTTCCTTTCCTTTCTGGGGGCAGGGGGGTGCAGAGTCTCACTATGTCGCCCTCGATAGAGTGCGGTGGCGTCACAGCTTATAGCTACCTCAAACTCTTGGGCTTAAGAGATTCTCTTGCCTCAGCCTCCCAAGTAGCTGGGACTACAGGCGCCCACCACAACGCCTGGCTATTTTTTTGTTTTAGTTGTCATTATTGTTTAGCTGGCCTGGGCTGGGTTCGAACTCACGAGCCCCGGTGTATGTGGCCAGTGCCCTAACAGGTGTCAAGCCATTCTATTTCCTTTCAAAGCTATCTGCTCTGATGAACAGGCTACATTCTTCTGGAAGGGCAAACTCAGGGACAGAGATCCCACTGCAGTTGGCAGGGCAGGGCAAGGGGCAGCAGGGAGTATCTGGGCAATGGAACAGCCTGTATCTTCATGGGTGGAGGGCCCCTGACTACACACGCCTGTCAAAGCTCACATCGCTGGGCGCCACGAGAGGGACTTCACCGCATGTAAATTAGATCTCAACAAGCCCCACAGTGAAAATACAATAAAGTGAAGTCAAGGGGAACAAGCCACCTGGCACACATTCAAACACTGCTCAGAAGCCACTTA